GAGCCCATGTGCCTTTGTTAGGAATTCCTTCCAGCATCAGGCTGATGCACTTCTCTCTGGACACATTTTTTGTGTCCTCACCCCCACACCTTTGCTTTGGCTTCTCCCAGCCTGAGATGACAGCCCCTTTCCTCCATTAATGTAAATCTTGACTGTCCTACAACTTTCAGCTAAATCACCCTCTCTCAGACCTAGGACATGTTGACTCCAAAGAGGTAGTACATGTTGAAAAATTAGGTTCAAGTTCCAGACTGGGTTAGACAAAACCCTGGTTCATAGGTTCTATGTCTGTTCCACTGTGTTTGCTAGGAAATTCTCCTGGGGGGTGGGGAGAAAAATCCAAAGGCAAAAGAAACCCACATTATTTGAGAGAAAAACCACATGGAGTTGGTAGTGTGCTAAATGCTTTAGTTCACAGAACTGGGGAAAAATACACTCCTCTCAGATGACTTCAGAATGTGAACAGGAGCATGCATGTATGTGTGTGTGTGTGTGTGTGAGTGTATGAGACAGTATATGAGTATGAGTGAGTGTGTGAGTGTTGTTAGAGTGTAAGCGTATGTGTCTCTGGTCTACATGGCATTCTACAGTAACGTAGTGTGGATTTCATCTTTACTGACACTCATTTACGAAGGAGTGGGGAGGGGACTTATCCCTGAATTTAAGTTCTTTTCTGGATGGAGAAAAGAAATGCTTAGGGCTAGAGGAGGAGGAGGAGGAGAAGGAGGGAGCCACCAGGCAGGGAATATCTGCTGAATGCATTACCTGTGGCATCATAGTCAGTCCTCATCCTTTTTACAAAACAAAAAACTGAAGCTTGCTGAGGTTAAACCAGGCACTTCGCATGCCAAGCCCCTGCTCCTCCTACTACACACATTACCCTCTGACAGCCACCATTTTGAATGCTCCTGTAGCAAAGTTTTGAGTGGGGATTAAGAAGCATACCCTGAAAGGCCCACCCAGCTCCCATGGCCTTCTCTGGTCTCCTAATCTGTCTGTACTAAGGGGCATTTTAGGTAGCTCCCTTCCTGATCTATGTGTAGACACTTACCTGCACCCATCATACACTAAGTACCTATGACTGGTCTCCAAGAAGAAATCACCAACTCCTTTCTCCGTGGGAAAAACTTCCTTCAGGCCCCAGAGCCAGGTTTGTGATTGTCTGGTTGATACTGAAAACCAAACTGCTGGTTTAATGGTTTAACTAATCTTATTTCTGTCTTTGCATTGGCCGCTAGGCAGCTCCTTTTTTTTTTTTTTTTTTTTTTAAATACTAACTCTATTCCTAGCTTCATTTTGTTGTTCCTTTCCTGCTGATTTTCTCATTTAATTATTTTTCTTTTACCCTGTTGCACCATATATATATATATATATATACACACACACACACACATATATATACACATACACACATACTATACATACATACACACACACATATATATATTATAAGCTTCTTTTAGTAATTGGCAGGACATATATAAGTAATCATATGTGTTGCCCACTTGCAGGTGATGTGGCCTAGGCAACTTTTGGAGCTTCCTTCTCCAGCTCACTCTGTAACAGAGGGTCTGGAAGGTTCAAGTCCCCATGTAGCCTGTACTCTATCCTTGGTGGGTAGGCTGCTGGGGCTCAGAGGCTCAGAGGCTTACATGCACCAGCTGCTCCTGAGTGTCATACTCCTTGGTGCAGTCTTCCCAGTGACAGCTGGTCTCATAGATGACCACCTCAGGCTCTTGCTTACAGTCATCCCTGTCCAGGTCTTCCTTGAGGTCAGCCAGCTGCTCCTGGGGGAAGACAGAGCACACCCCTGTGAGCCATGTTCAGCCATCTGGCCCTGAGGGCAGGGCCTGAGAAGATACTGCTGTCAGCTCATCGGCTGGGCTGATAAAGGTTGTGGACAGACAGACAATAGAAACAAGCACTCACTCACTCACTCACCAATCTTTCAGCCCTTTCTCTAGCCTTTGCTCTTTCTGCCTCCCATCCTTCCACTGTCTTGTCAGACATTGACCTGGACTCCTCCCTCCTTTCTAATGCTGCTTGTCATCACCTTGGCACCCATCACTCCTGGCTCTACTGACATGGTAAGGAGGGTAGGAGACAGGAGTCTATGGCTTTTGTTTGCTTTTGTATCCTTTATAGGGATAGGTCATATGGGCAGCTCTGGAGTGTGACATTTTTACATTTCATGTGTTCAGGGTCTGCTCCTGCCTAGAGGCAGGAGGAGACCCAGCATACCTCTCTCCTGGGCCCTAAGATCCTTATTCTCATAGTGTCCCTTCTCCTCAGGGGCACATGCTGCACCTGGACTCACACCCGGGACAGGGCAGTAGGCTGTAGAGGGGATTCACTCTAGCACATTCTCCCAGCATCATTCTCCCCTGCAATACAGTCCTCAGACTGTGCGTATCTGTGTTCTTGTTTTCCAGCCCGGGAAACTCTGAGAGAAGTTTACTTATGCTCCCAAGAACACATAGCTAGTTTGTAGCAGCCTAGACTTGGACTCGAGTCTCCCTATCACATTAGGGCCCTCATAGGACCATTTCAAGGAGGTGGAGGAAAGGCCCTGAAATATTTATTTCACCTGAGCCCTGGGGGCTGAGCACTGGGACCAAAGTAAAAGGAAGGTATGAGAGGCCATTGTTCTAGAACTTCAGCAACAGGATCATCTATGGGGCTGCTATTGTTGTTAGCTGCTGTCAAGTTGGCCCCCAACTCATGGTGACCCCATGCACAATGGACAGAAACACCACCCAGTTCTGACTCATCCCTGTTATCAATTGTGGATCGGACTGTTGTGACACGTAGCACTTCCACTGGCTGGCTGTTGCAAGTAGATTTCCAGGCCTTTCTTCCTAGTCCATCTTAGTGTGGAAGCTCCATTGAAACCTGTTCAGCATCATATGCATTAACCAGGAATTGAACTCAAGTCTCTTGCACGAAGGGTAAGAATTCTGTAGCTGAACCACCAATGCCTCATCACTTGATCATAGGTGCCTGAAATTCTTTTTAAAGAAGACAAAGCCTTTTACTTCCAAACCAACAACAGTCTTGGGATTAACCCCCACCCCCAGTTAATCCTAGCCCAGAACCACGCAGAGGCAGCCTCTGAGCAGAGGAAATGGAGACAAGCTAAGGGACTAGGGAAAGGGGGAGGGAGGGTTTCCACGGCTGTAAATCTTTTCAGAAGCTGACTGCCTCATCTTTCTCCTATGTAGCAGCTGGTAGGTTTGAACTGCTGACCTTTTGGTTAGCAGCTGAATGCTTTAACCACTCCTTCAAGGGCCTCCAGAGGCCTGTAATGCTTTAGGGACTCCCCAGTTTCCCACTGGCCTACTCGGCATGCTCAGACAAAGCCAAGCAAAGGACAGATGTTAGAAAGACTTGCTTTATTTTTTAAACTATTGCCAAGAAACAACAAGAAAATGTTCTTTCAAAAGAGCTTCTGGGGAAAATATTTATAGTTTAGGTTAATGGGGACAACCTCTCCCCCTTGTTCAAGAGCAATAGTAGCTATAGGTTTCAGGAATGAACCGAAGCTGAGGCTGCAGCTGAACGTGCCACAGTCTCATCCCTCACACTGTGTCCATTTCTAAGAGCAGCAGGAGTCAGCCTCAGGACACCCTGCAGGAAGCCCTGACTCACACCAATTGCTGTCCAACTGGAGCTGCTAATGGCTCTCCCAAGAGAGGTTTCTGGTTGTTCCTGAGAGTGTGCCTTTCAATGAGACCACTTGATCTAAGAAGGGAAGTGATGTGATATACAATGACTCCTTGGGAGGAGCAGAAACCACAGGGTGGGGGAAGGGGGGAGGGGTTGTGCACTGGGATCACAGCAAAAGGAGGGTGTGGGAGGCCCTCTGCACTAAGCAATGGGATCTGTGAAGCTGTCAAATGAGACTGTGCAGGAAAGTGGACAAGGGGCCTCCTCAGGCCCTCTCTGCAGCTTGAGAAATATTGGAAATAAATTTCTTATTTCCATAGGGTGCATACCCTGCATATTCAAAGAAGACTTGAAACAGATGACACACTGGTGCACAGAGCAAAGGGAAAATGCAGATGTGGTGGGTGCACAGGCTGCCAAGGCAGCAAAAAGGGGACTCATTAAGCTGTATTTTCTACTCATGGAGACCAAGTGCATCCACCTTGCAAATAAGCTGGGAGTCCTCGGTCAATGAACCAGGACACCGAGTGGCATGGTGACACACGCCTTGTAATAAACAGCTTTCTGCTGTCTGACACACATGAGGAGGCCACACTGGGCAGGAAGGGAGAATCACTATTCTGCAGCTGCCTGGGTTTGAGGGTGGGAACAGGGTCCCCCTAGAAGGTGGGTATGGGCCACTAGGTGCTTGATGCCCACCACCCAGCTTATCCTCATCATTCCAGTGTGTTTATCTTCCTTGGATATGTGCTATCCTCATCAATCCCAGCTGTCCCTGATGATAGCCAGGAAATCATGCATCACACTGAGACTGGCTCTGGCATCACAGAGGGGAGAAGAATTTGTCATCAACCCCTCTGCTTGCTTGACAATAACAGGACTCAATATTTCATGAAAATTAAGTGCCTAGAGCACAGAGCACACCTGATTGTTTACAGTGCTGACAAAGGATGGTGGGATATAGGGGAGATGGGGATGGCAGACCGGAGCACCCTCATGTCACAGCCAGGGGTTGTATAGTCATAGGGGTGGGGAGGATAGGCTGGTCAGCAGCCCACTCACACACTTACCACAGCAGACCTCTGCTCAAGAGTCTGGCATGGCCTGCTTGCCATCTTGGCAGGTTAGAGTAAGTGCAGACTTCCAAAGGGACCTCATGAGGCTCCAGCCAGCAGAGGCCTGTGCCAGGCTAGGGAATCATCTTCTCTTCTCTCTCCCCACCATTCCACTAACTCATTCAAACATGCATCTGTCATTAGAAAATATTACTACAGCCTGTGCACACCAGGCCCTATGCAAACCCTGGTAATATGACACTACAGGTGCTTCTTTCACAGTTGTGGTTGGTAGCTGCTGTTGAGATGGCCCCCAACTCATAGTGACCATGTACAATGGGATCGGATCATTGGGTTTTCAGTGGCTGATTTTTAGAAGTAGATTGCCAGGCCTTTCTTCCTAGTCCATCTTAGTCTGGAAGCTTCACTGAAACCTGTTCAGCATCATAGCAACATGCACACTTCTACTGTTGGATGGATGGTGGCTGTGCATGAGGTACACTGACCTGGAATCAAACTTGAGTCCCTGCATAGAAGGTAAGACTTCTACTACTGAACTACCACTGCCTGTTCTCTCAAGTGGCACCCCTCATTGGCTTACCACATAGTGGGGGAGACAGGCATGATAGCAGCATGTCAGCAGCAAAGAACTAGGAGAGGAGTGTGGGTTGATGCAAGACCTATTACCCAGGAGGACAGGGAAGGTAAGAATGGCAGTAGGGGCAGGTGAGGAAGGACTTCCAGGGAGAGGGACACCTGAGAGGGGCTCATCCTACTCATGGCAGGGAAGGAGCTTGGTTCGGCTGGGCTTGTGCTAGGATGTGGACAAGGCACCAGGAGGAGCCTGCCTGCAGTCTGAGGACCCATGGAAGGGTGGAGGGAGTTCATTCACTTATTCTTTTACTCAGCACATGTTTGATGAGTATGTGACAAGGGCAGGGTTCTCAGGGTACAGAGGTGAGGCTGTCATAGCCTTGGTACCCTTGAGCTCACAGTAAAGCCCACTCTGTCCTCATTCATTCAGGAACACAGCAGTAAGGCTGTCATGGCCCCAGTCCCCTGAGCTCACAGTAGAGCCCACTCTGCCTGCATTCATTCAGGGTAGAAGGAGTGAGGCTGTCATAGCCGTGGTTCCCTGAGCTCACAATTACACCTGCTGCACCCTCATGCATTCACTTACACATTTATCCATTCATCATTCACCAACAGTGGTCAGGTCCCAGGTCAGTGGACCCAGATGACACCATTCCCTGGTGGGTGGGGGGCCTGCATGTACCTGTGTCAGCGTCAGTGGGGAGGTGGGCCTCAAGCCCTCAGCTTCTGTCTTGACCTTACTGCGCTTGTGGATGACGATGGGGTTGACAGTGCTGCTCACAGCCGACTCACTGCTCTGCTTGTTCTGGAGGGAGGGTGCAGAGGGGGCCCATCACATAGAAGCAGGGAGCTAAAATCCCCACAGACCATCTAGGGCCAACCAGTGCATTTGAAGTGTTGGAAACTGAGTCTCCAGCCAAGGCATGGCTAAGACAGAGCCGTGACTTTGTCTTGCCAGCCCTTCCTCTCTACAACATAGTCATCACTCCATCTCCCCATTACTTCAGGGAAATGCAAAAGTGACTCTTTCTTTGGAATAAGCTGGGCATCCTTGTTCTCGTCTCCAGGAGGCTCAACTTAGCCTTCCAGAGCAGGAGGTATCAAACAGCATGACAGCAAGAGGTGGGTCTGGGTTGGAGGAGAACAGGGCTTGGCTAGCGCAGGGGGCAGGAGAGAATGGCCTGGATCCTCAGGAAGAGGGGAAGAGGGGCTGGAGTTGTAGTATCAGGAGATGGTTCAAAACTTGATGGCAACTGTCTATAGGGGATGCACTGGATGGGAGAAAGGGGAGGACAGCCTGGAAGAGGGACTGCTTCTAGAATCTTCTTTGCCAGGACATGGTAACATCTGGGCTCAGCCACCTGACAATAATTGGTGCCCTAGGGAAGGGCCTTCCCCTCTAGAATGCCATCAGGAGTGCTGACCGTGTTCTGGGGTCTAATGGGGGCTCCATGTATACATAAGCTTGTCCACATGCACCATGATGCAGAAAAGGAGGTAGGACCCCCAATTTGCAGGTGAGTTAGCTCAGGATGAATGAGGTAAAGAAACATGCCTCTTTCAGGAAGGTCAGGATTCAAAACTTGGCCTGATTCAAACCCTGCATACTTTGCACTATATGATTCTGCTGCTATGCATGCCCCTCCTCATCTGCAAACTAGGATCTCATTCATTCACTATATATTTGTTACCTAGTTTGTGCTAGGCACTGTGCCAGGATGCCAGAGGCCCCTTGGAAGGGTTGAGTAAACACAGTGTGAAACTGTGGTAAGCACAGTCTCTAAATGAAGCTCCACATAGTAGTAACTATGATTCAGGAATCCCTCCATTCCACCCATCCATATCATTCGTTGTACACTGAAAGGCTGGGGAGCTTGCTTATGGTGAAGGCAGTATCAGGACTAACTCTGACACCTGACATAGCCTGAGGCTCTGTCAAGCTGGGGCCTCTGCCCACAGAACCTCCCACCAAGCATCCCTGAGCCCAGAGTTCTTCCACAAATTCATGCGTGAGATGGGTATGGACAGCCCTTGTGGGGTCTGGTTATATACCTGGTGATCCACTCCCCTGCTTCCTGGGCCCACCTACCTGGTTGGTGTCACTCAGACAGTTGCTGTTGCTGCTGAGCTGGGTGGGTGTGGCATTGATGGAGGTAAGGGCCATGGGCTGTTGGGCCAGGAAAGTGGGCGAGGGCTGGATCAGGGGTGGCGTGTGTCCAAAGGCCGAGCCCAGGCCCCTCTGCTGACTCAGGATCTGTTGGTAGGCCACGGGGTTGATGGGGTGGGGAAAGGTGAAGGCTGGGCTGCAACGGAGAATGGACAAGGTAATGGAGTAGAGGTGGGGGCAGTGGCAGGGACTCTGTTGGGCTTACACTTCCTGGGCAGAGATAACCCTGCCCAGGGGATTGGGACTGGCACACTGGCTTTCCATCACTCAAGAACTAGCAATGGTTTCCTGCTGCCTGCATCTTAGGACTCATCATTTCTGCTTAGCTCTCTGACCCTGTCCCAGGATGTAGCTTTCACCTCTGGCCCCCGGGAGGTGCCATGCTACTTCCCACCACTATACCATAGGACTGCCATGATTATTTTTTTAAACTTGATATACCTGTTATTCTCTCTCTGGGTCCTTGGGCCTGAGATACCTCTTCCCTAACCATTTGAACCCATCCGGCCTTTGAATCTTCTTCTAATGTCACCTCCCCCAGGAAGCATGCCCTGAGTGCTCCTGCTCACATTTTTCACTTCTATAGCTGGCTCCATGGACCCAATTTTCCTGACCTCCTGGGTTCCTTGAGATGGGTCAGAGGAGTGCCAATGGGACAAGAGTTTCAATCAAGTTGGCTGGTACTGAGGTACTGAGACCAGCCAAGGGGTTCGGGGGCAGAGAAGGACAAACCATGGTGAGCCATGCTGTGATAAGATTTGCCAGTCCAGAGATGGGTTTAGACCATCTGCCAAAGCTTCTGTCACATCTGTGTGGCATCTGATGCTGGTCATCACCTGGCTGCCCTACAACTCCCACTGAAACACTAGAAAAGCCACTGTTCAAGTACAGGTACCTGTTTGATTTCATTACTGGACTAACACGACAAGACAGAAATGTCACGTTCACATCAGAAATTGTTTTGGGGATGGGTAAGAGCCCATGAAAATGTACTCAAAGGTGGGCAAATTTGAATTTCATCATCATTAGTTTTGAATTCATGAAAAAAAATGCAAGTATGGTAACTCATAAATGCAGTAAGTTCTATCTTCTTCTTTTGGGTGAAGGTGCCCACCCAAAAGACAGACCTGTCTACTTGAGAACAGCCAGCTTCTAACTCAGCCCTCTGTGAAATCCAAGCTCACCTGAGGGCACCTGCTGATAGGTGCCCGTAGGAGCCACTGGCTGCTGAGCTGCTGCGGGAGTTGTTGATGTAGGCCACCAGTGAATTGGGTGAAGTCCGGATCATCCGCTGCAGGTCCAGGCTGGCATCGGACAGTGGCGAGATGGACAGCGCCCGCTTGCGGCTCAGTCGGGGCGTAACCCGTGGGCTGGAGAAGCGGGACACTGGAGGGAGCAGCAAGCACAAGGCATGTTAGCATTACCCACATGGGTGCATGTGTGTGTGTACCTGTGTGTACACATGTGCACATGTGTTGGTGGAGAAGGGGAAAGTAGGGGGTAGGAGAATTGGTGGATGAGGGACAGGAGGAGCCTACAGAGATGGTCTAGCAGGAATCATAGTTCTGCCATGCTTTAGCTGTGGGCTCTTGGATAAGGTATGAAGCCTCTCTTAGCCTCAGTTTGCTTATCTATAAAATGGGATTGGTTCTCACAGCACGTAGTGATGATGATTTGAAAAGCATGTGTAAGATGTTTGGTGAGTGAGCATATGCTAGCATCTTTACTACTGGTAGGCAGAGACCAGGCAGGGCTAGAACTTGGCAATGCTTAAGACATAACAGAAAAGTGCACTCATCATAAGTAAATGGCTTAGTAGCCTTTCACAAAGTGAATCCACCTGTGAAAACAGCTCCAGATCATGAAGAGCATGGCCAGTGTCCCAGAAGGTCTCCTGCCCCTTCCAGTCCCACCCCAAGGCAGCCTCTGTCCTGCCTGCTAATACCACAGTTTAGTTGTGCCTATTGTTGAGCTTTATATAAATGGGATTATACATGTTCTTTCATATGTGGTTCCTTACGTCCAACACTATAAGATGGTCAGGTTCCTCCATGCTGGTACGTGGGGTGATCCTGGGCTTGCAGTGCTTGACTTTTGCCCTTTGCCTGTCTGGCTTGTTCAGACATTGCTCAGGTCTCTTCTCCATGAGGGTGATGACATGTAGCATGGCTGTAGGTCTTCCTGGCCCTGGCTTTCCCTGTGCCATCCACTCAGCTCCTTTGGGGTTCAGACTACTCTTCTCCCCATGCAGCCCTCTCTTCTGACTGTAAGATTACTCCTAATTATGTCTGTGTCAGGGCCTCCATAGCTGGGGGGCAGTAGGACAGGGGTAGTGAGGTGAGTCTCAGAGCCCCTCCATAGGGATGCAGCCCCAGGAAAGTTGGGGCACATTGGGGCAGGTGTAGCACACAGGGCCCACCCAGAAAACTGAGGAAGCCTGTGCACCCCTGCACCTACATGATGGCATCACAGCCGGCTGCCTCAGTCTGCAAGTCTGCAGCCAGCAGGAGCTACACCAGAGCTTGGGGGAGACTCAGCCCTGCCCCTTCCCAGCTTTAGCCCATGCAGATCAGCTTTATCAGAAGAATGAAAGGCCTGAATGCCTGTAGTATATCCGGAAAGTTTTGGGGACCTTACAAAATCCCTTCACTGTGGGGCCACAGGGAGAAACACCTCTCTGGAGTGAGGAGGAGAGAGAGGAGTCCCAAAATCCTCAGACCAAAGGGACTTCTAAGGGTTTCTTTCCTAACTTTCTTTGTTGTGGATGGGGGAATATGAGGTCACAGATGGGAGTGGCTTGTCCAAGTCATACACCAAGTGGACTGGCAGTCTGGGCATAGTGACCATGTACAGAGCACAGAGGACTGCCCCAAGTCCCAGCTCAACATCAATCATGTAACCTCTCTGAGACACAAAAGAACAATGACCTGAGAAGAAAAATCACTCCTCGTCCATTTTGGGAGCTTATGATTAGATGGATGCTGGCAGTGAAGGTAGTTTTTACATTCTAAATACTTTACAACTAACTCTAATGCACATGTGACCAATATTCTTTGGAAAAGATGTTCCGTAAGAAGGGTGATGGGCTTTTAGGAAAGTTCCCAATTGGAAGATAAAGTTGAGTTAACCAGAACACTGAGTGTCCTTGTCAGCTAAATTTTCATTTTTGGTGGTCTGTTTATTTTATTGGGCTCTGAGGACTGGGGCTTCCATATCTTTTAGTAAGCAGAGCTATGGTGGGTACACAGAAGGTGCTTCATAGATGCTTTTTTGTGGAGAAAAATTTCTCAGAATTAATTTTTGTTAATTGTGGTAAAAATATATGTAACAAAATATTTGCCATTTCAACATTTTCTACATGTACAATCCAGTGGCATCAATTGCATTCATCATGTTGTATAACTGCCACCTCTATCTGTTTCAAAATTCTTCCACACAAATGGTTGTTGTGACTCTGGCTTGTTCTGCTCCACAGATGGGGTACTTAGGCCAGCAGCTCACTCACTCAGTCAAGGTTGCCTTCTGTTGCCAGCCCTACACCCAGAGGATGTGAGGCAGCCCACCATTATACCCTGCCCTCAGTGCCTGATGGAGCAGGCCCAGTCCCCACCAGCACCAAGGCTGTGCTGCACTGCAATTATCACTGAACACTCTGAATGAGAATCCCACATGGAATAGACACATCCTCCTTGGTCAGCAACTGGAGATGGTGTATCCCATTGGTGCCATACCTGGATAAGAGTCTGCTTCTGAATTCTCAAGTGATTAGTAACCCATTTAGTGACATTTGGACCCACTGTCTTGTTTAACAACTACCATAATCCTAGCATTGCAGATAAGGAAACAAAGCTTGGGGAGGTTAGTGAGATGCTAAGGTCACAGAGCTACAGAGGCAGGATTTGAACCCAGGTCCTGAGGAGCCCTGATGAGGATTTTCTGGGGAATCCATGTCCTTATTTATCTGGTATCTGGAGAGTGGTAGGGACAGGATTGGGGCCAAAAAGAAGCCCTCTCACCAAAAAGAGCTTCTGCCCCCCTGCCCCCTATAATTGGCTCCAAATAGTGAAATTTATGGAGATTGCCATATAACTTAATAAATTTAACAACCTATCTGCAACTCTTGCACGTCAAAGGCAAGTCCAATTTAGCACACACAGCACCACTGCTGATACATACAAGCCTTGCTCTTCCGGCAGCTCCTCAGCTCTGCAAGAGCCTATCACCTGTGACAGAGGCCAGACCCTCCCACTCACCTCACTCAGAGTGGAGCCCACACTCAGGCCTACAGATGCTTGCTTCAGAACACCCTCTTCATGTCCCCTTTCTCTCAACCTGTTACCCCAGCCCAACTGGCCTGGCCCAGCTTCATCACTTGGCTGAATCATTCCAGAGATCCTTTAGCTAACTGCTGTCCAATCTACTTTCCACACTGTGGCTGGAGAGAACTTTTTAAATTTCAAATTGCCTCATGTAACTGTCCCCCTTAAGACCTTTCCAAAACATCCCACTGCTTTTAGGGAAAAAGGCCAGAATCCTTAGCATGGCCTACAAAACCTGCCTCTCTAGCTGCATCCTGCCCCATTCCCCCATCCCCATGAACTCTCTCCATTCATACTGGCCTCTTCCAGCTCCTCCTGTGTGCTGCCTGCCCTCCTACACAGGGCCTTTGTACATGTGCCTTCTCTGCTTGACATACTCTTCCCTCTTGACTGTATTCAAACCTCAGCTGATTTGCCCCTTTCTCCAGGAAGCCTCCCTGACCTTCCTTCAAGAGTTCATCAGCTCCTCCCTCATATGCACACACAGCTGCAGACCTCTCTCCAAACAACAGTCACCATGGTGAGCTTATATTCACTTGTATAGTTACCTGGTTGCTTCTTCATGAAGAAGGACTCAAGTTCTCCATATCCCCAAGAGTATATCCCCAACACTCAAATATAGCAGGCTCAGTGATGACCTCGAAGTGGGATATGCCAAGTGTTCGCTGAATGGCATAAGCACGATGTGTTGGGGAAGAGTGGAATAGTGGCCACTAACCACACCCTCCTCCCCGCGAAAAAAAGCAAACCAAAAACCCACTGCCATTGAGTCCACTCTGATTCACAGTGACTCCCATGGGGTTTCCAAAGAGGTAAATCTTTACAGAAGTAGACTGCCCAGTCTTCCTTCAGTGGAGTGGCTTGGGTTAGTAGTCAAATGTCTTAGGCATTAGGAGTGGAGAACAGTAAGTCTAAGAAAGTTGCCTGGGTCACAAAGAGCTCCTTCTGATGCTAAGTTTAGTGGCCGCTAAACTTAATATTTATTGAGTGCCTAGTATATGCTAGGAACTGCTCTAAACACTTTAAAATATTAAGTCATTTAATCTTCACGCCTGCCCCATAAGGAGGGGTTACTGTTATTGTCAAGAATCCTTGGGTGGTATGAAAGCTTAATGGTTGCAGTCTGAACCCACCCAGTGGTGTGGAAGAAAGGCCTAGCAATCTATTTCTGAAAGGTCACTGCCAAGAACCCTATGGAGCACAGTTCTACTTTGCGATACATGTGGTTGCCATGAGTTAGAATGGAGTCAACAGCAACTGTGTTTTTCTTTTTCTGTTGTTTATTATTATAATCATTCTACAGATGAGAAAACAAAGGCACAGAGAGTTTAAATAGATTGCCTAAGGTCACAGAGCCTGCAGGACTAGAAGCCAGGCCGATAATTGCCAAAACCACCTGCCCACACTGCCTCTGCTGGAGTGGGGAGGAGAGGTGTCTTGGGAGAGGCATGACTGTGGGGAGAGGGTTAAGGAGAGAGGGTGAGGAGAGACCCAAAGGCTCTGGTAGATAGACACACACAGGATGTGGAACCACCTCTGATGACCTGCACTGGCTGACCATGACAGACCTGACAACTTGCTTTGGAGCAAGTTTTGTAATGTTGCTGAGCCTTCTTTACCTGATATGTACAATGGAGGCAGCCAGGCTTGTCTTGCAGGCTTGTTGTAAGAAAACAGTGTCAAGGACAGTGCCTATAAGGCAGCAGACATGGACAATGACTGCTAATGAATATAACCACCAATCTGCCAGTTTGTCGTGCTGTGGTCGTTTGGTGTTGCTGTGATGCTGGAAGCTATGCCTCCAGTATTTCTAATAGCAGCAGGGTCACCCATGGTGGACAGGTTTCAGCAGAGCCTCCAGACTAAGACAGACTAGGAAGAAAGACCTGGTAATCTACTTCTGAAAAAACTGTCTGATATAACGCTGGAAGATGAACCCCAACCTCCCAGTTGAAAGGCACTACACAGTGAACTAGAGATTATCTACGATGATGAAGATGATGCAGAATTTGGACATTTTGTCCTATTATATATGGGGCCGCTGTGAGTCAGAGCCTACTAGATGGC